GTATATTGCTACCAGTAGTATTGATTTTTGATTTATCCATATCTCTATCGTTAATATTCTTCTCTTTGGGTCTGCATAAATTAAATTTGTCTTTATCCCATCTTTAACATATATCGCTATCCCTTTTCTCTTTTCTGCTGATGCTGCATATAATTTTCCTAATTTAGGACATTCCAGGTATTTTATATCTTGTTTTTTAATGTGTTTCCTGTAAGCATATTATATCTGCCTTTTATTTTGTTAATTTTTGCACATTCAAATATTTTCCTAATTACATTTTCTTCTGTAAGGATCTCTTCACTTTTCCAATTTTGTGCAGATACAATCCTAGCTGCTGTTATAACATGAATAATCAAATATACATTTTCTTTACTATAATTTTCTGGTAAAATCCTCAGCAAAAATATTTCAGGTTTTAAGTCATTTTTTCCAGACACGTATGTATTTTAGTCCCAATATTTTTTTGCTTCTGCGCAGGTCCACCACATATGATAGTACGAGCCTGGTAGCTGATGGCATTTCCAACATTTAGCTGATTTATCTTTAAACATCTTCGCCAGTCTTGCCAGAGGCCAGGGCTATCAATAAAACATCTTATACAAATCCTCTTTATATGCAGTTGACATTGTTAATTTATAATTTCTGTCCCATAGTTGCTGCCATTTAGCTAGTTCTATTGCAGTGACGGTGAACCTTTTCCCCCTTGGGTGTCAAAAGCACATGTGTTCGTGCCCACACCCGTAATTAAATGCCCCCCTCCTGCATTGTACCCACCTGCGTATGCACACGTGGCTTTCTTGAAGCCTGGGGAGGGTGAAAACACCGTCTCCCAGGCCTTCGGGAGGCCCGCAACAGTCCGTTTTCCAACTTCCGGTGGGCCCAGTAGGTCCAATTTTGGCCCTTCCCAGGCTCTAGGAAAGGCTAGAAAAACAAGCCTATTGGGCCTACTGGAAGTTCGTTTCTGAACTTCCATGGAGCCCATTGGGCTGTTTTTCACCCTCCACAGGTTTCAGGAAAGCCTCCTAAAGCCTGGGGAAGACAAAAAAATGGCCCATCGGGCCTACCAGAAGTTTCTGTCTGTTGGGCACATTTTTTGCCATCCACACGCTTCAGAAGACTTTCCTGAAGCCTGGGGAGTGTGAAAACGGCTTCCCCACGCCCTACGGAGGGCTGAAAATCAGCTGGCCAGCACGCGCATGCATGCTGGAGCTGACATAGGGCAATGCCTCATGTGCCCTCAGATATGGCTGCGCGTGCCACAGGTTTGCCATTACAGTTCTATCATATAACCAAAGTTTTTAGCCCAAGCTATCATTGTTTCTTTCACTTGTTCGTCTTCTAATTTAATACTCAGTAGGTAGCTATACAGGTTTTTTTTTATCACCCTCTCTTCTGTTCCTGTTAATATCTTATCTAATTCTATCAATTCCGTATAAAAACTATATGATTTGGCATCTTTGTCATACCTAGATTGTATTTGCAATTGTGTATACCAATCCATATTGATCCCTTGTTTTTCTAGATCTTGTTTAGTTTTAAACTCCCCTTTTTCAGTCAGTATACCTTTATATCTCACAATGTTTTCCCTATTCATAATATTTGGATGTGTTAACACTTCCATCGTTAGTCAGACTCGTATCTTTAAATAATGTTGCTTTCTAACTTTCTTCCAAATAAACAGTAAAGTATTTCTTATATAATGTCTTTGAAAGTACCCGTGTATTTTATTTTTCCCTTCCAACTCAATTGCAAGTCATGTCCTTCCAGCGTCAATAATCTTGTATTTTTCAATACAATCCATTCTTTCATCCACATTAACACCGCTCCCTGGTAGTACAGTTCCCAATTTGATAGTCCAAAGCCTCCTCTCTTTCTTGCATTCTGTAACAGTTTAAACTTAATTCTTGCTTTTTTCCCCTTGCCAGATATATTTTATAATTAGTTTATTCAGGTCTTCAAAGTATTTTTCCCCAACCTTATTGGAATTGTTTGAAATAAATATAATAGCTTTGTTAGTATATTTATCTTGACTGTACCTACTCTCCTATTAACGATGGTTGCAAGTTTTCAATTTTTCCAAATCTACCTTAATTTGTTTTACCAACCTATGATAATTATCTTCCTTTATCGTTACGTATCTTGCTGTTAATTGAATCCCTAGATATTTTACTTTCTTTCTAATCTGAATATGTAGCCCATTCATTAATTCTCTTTTTTGCTTTTCCAGAATATTTTTATTGGTGCTCCGAAAGTGTCAGGGAGAGAGGTGGCTATGGGGTTAGCAGCTCTGGGAAGTGTCCTGGCCACGCTCCATGGAAGGTGGCCCTTTCGGACTGATTCTGTGGCTCAGGATACCTTGGTCCTGACATGTCTCCTCCCCAAGAAAGCTACTCTCTTTTTTTGTTGCATTTCTTTCTGGAGGGATTTCGGGTCATAGTCACATCTCCCAAAATACATTGTTTAGGAAAAGGCAAGCTCTGTGCCTGGATTTTGAAAGCTTCTCTAGCTTAACCCATAGAGGCCTTTAGGGTCAAGAGTGCAGCGGGGGGGGGGGGGGACACAGTTAAGAAATGCACTCAGTAGAATTTGCCAATGGGGTGGAGTTGGACCCTGCATGCAGTTACAAACTCCCACCCACCTCCTGTCCTACCTTTCCTTTTTCTCTCTTTTCTAGTCAGTTGGAGATGCTCCAGCCACCCCAAAGCACCCCAGAGATAGTAGGGACAACTTCTTTGCTGCTGCCCCTAAGTCTTTGACGCCCCCCATGGGGACTGCTGCGGACGCCACCTCCTCGGTTGCAGAAGCTCTGCCCAGACTGGCAGACCAGCAGAGCAAGCCCAAAGCAGCTTCACCCTCCTCCTCCTCCTCCTCTTCTTCCTCCACCGGTGGTCTCCTTGCGCCACCACAGGAGCCGGCAGGGGTGGAGAACATCAAGGCGATGCCTCCTACATCCAGTCTCAAGCCTGGTGAGTTTTTCTTTTGGAAAGACGTGCTTCTTGACTGCTTGGTCGATGGCCTCCTTGCACAGTCTCTTCCTGTGGTTGGTGGCAGCTGCTTTAGGCAGCCATGGGACTTCCTTTTCAGAATTGACTTGTTTGAAGTAGTCAAAGCATCCCTTTGCACTGGGTATACTAAAACCCAGCTTAATTCCAAGCACAGCAATAAATCTATGTAGGAGGAAGGCTTAAGATCATAAATTGCTCTTCTGGGCTTTTTTAAAAGCTGGCCTAGAAGGGCTGATGGGTCCCAGGGGTGGAGAGCCTCTCTCCCTGGCAAGTGGGGACAAGAAACTGATTCAGAAACACAGTAGTACCTGGAGAATACATCTTTCTTCCTCCCTCCTTCTCTCCCTCTCTCTCTCTCTCTCTCTCTCTCTCTCTCACACACACACACACACACACACACACACACACTCACTCACTCACTCACTCATACACACACACACTCACACCCACCCACACCCTCTTCATGCAGGCTCTCAGAAGATCCACATTCCTTTTCTTTGCTTTCTCTTCCCCCCTCCCCCCGGGCCCCCAATCAAAGCCTCTTTGAAAGGAGTGCTGCTTCCAAAGCACTGACCCTTCAGTTCCTGCTGCTTTCTGGTGCCCTGTGCCCTGTCCTGAGAAGGCCTCCATTCATTCGGAGTCTGGCCTTCCTTGCAAGCTCTAAATACCTCACTGTGGCCACTCATTGAAAAGCAACAGACAAAACACTCCCTCATCCTGCTCACAACAAGAGAGAGTTGCAAATCCTGGTCTGGCTCGGTATCTCTCTTTTAGTATGTCACTAATAGGTTGGAGCTCTGGTCACAACACAAAGGGGCATAGAGAATTCAGTGAAATTCTTGGTTTCTTGTCTACTTAAATAAATTCTGCCCAGAATTTGCCCACTGCCTGCCCACCCACTCTAGTGCCAAGATCAGATAACCTATCATCAACACAGTGTTGATGATCTAGGGATTGTATCCTCCTGCCTTAGGTTCATCTTCCTGAGACATATTTTACACCCCCTGAAATGCCAAGTGTCTTTGGTTTAATAGCTCCAGAGAAGCACATCGGCCACGTTATAGTAGCTGACTGGGGTGTGTTGGGCGTTTGGTAAAGAGATTTCTGGCATGTAGCGATGGATCTCCAGGTTGCAGGAACACATGGACCACATAACCTACAGGAGAAAAACCACAAAGAGCTGTTATGTAGCAAGTAACATGAGGTCCTGGATTCTCTCCAGCTCTAAGCACTGTGGGCCTCACCTGACTAAATTCAGTCTGGCGTCCTGTGTACATGAATCTGTCCACTTGGTGCTCTTTTCAAAGTTTCCTAGAAGTCCTTTAATATCCCTCTGAAATTAGGATGATTCCTTAATAACAGCCTCTGCAAATTGCATATAAGTGCTGCATTTCAAATAATTTCAGCATGTGAACTGAGTCCAAGTTTTGTTCCAAAGCTTGAACTTGAGTTTTCGTGCCTAATTTTAGCTTTATTTGATGCAGTCAAGTTAGCTGCCATTTTGGATTTTTACATTTCAGTTTTTCACAAAAGCCAAGCACTGCTTAGTGCTCTGCAGCTGAAATCCTCAGTCTTCCAATGTATGTTGCTCTCAGTTAGCAATGTTGCAACACAGACACATGACATGTTTTAATTGGTTAAAGCGTAGGGTCAAGATGGGATGGGATTGACCCTTCCGGCTTCCCAATTTGCTGCAGTGTAAACGCTAAAGGGGTTATTTTTCAGCATAGGCAGATTCAATGGGCTAGTAAAAATAAGAAATGTCACAGCAAATTTAAGTTCCAAACAACTGTGATTTCTGGAGCTGTTTAGGCAGCTCAGGGGCAAAGACGTCACCCTCGAACCTCTGCAGGGATTCATCTGCTGACACTGGAAGTGACCAGTGGCGAGGCACTCTCCTCCCCTTGCCTGGTCAGTGTGCCTGTTTTGTGCTTTGGCCTCCTACTGGGACTTTCCTAGAATTTGAGGATGGGACATTCCTGTGGCTGGCACTGTTAATTTAGCAGCAGAACCAGAGGGGATGTTGCCCATGACTGCTCTCTTCATCTCTTTTGGGTAGCCACTGATGGGATGTTGTAGTGATATTGTTGAGCTGTGCACTTCCTGATACTTGCATAGGGTGAATGTCTTGATCAGCATATAGATGGCAAGATCCTGGTACAGAGCGGTGTTTCTTTGTCTTAGCATGTCACTTGCAGGTTGGAATTGGCCTTCAGTCCAGGAAGCCCTTCCCACTATCCTTCATTGGACAAAAAGGTTGAGCCTGGGCTGCAGGAAACAGCCTTCAAAAGCAGTGAAACCTGAACAGGGAACATGAGAAATGAAGTAGCTAAGAACCTACAACCTGTTTAAAAAAATCAAGTTATTTCAAAGTGGTCTTCATTTGATCTGAATGACACAGATAGGTCCGTCACTGGCAGCTGACTCACCCTCCCTTGATTGCTGGGAAGGCTCAGTGGCTGATGAAGCAGGACCCAGGACTTCTGATGTGTGGTTCCTTCACTTCTTGCTTCTTTTAACAGAATAATAATAATAATGCTTTACCTGTGGTATGTGAATGCAGACAAGTAGCGTCCCCTCATCTCCCAGGACAGAGAAGTGGAAGAGACTTTGGAGGCCTAGTTCAACCCCTTTCTGAAGCAGGAGATCTAATACCATTTCAGACAAATGGTTGTCCAATCTCTTCTTAAAAACCTCCAGTGTTGAGAGGTTTAAAACCTCCTTTAAAACACTTTCAGTGAAGCATAAAAAGATGTTGAATGCAGAGAAGAGCAACTAAAATTATTAAAGGCCTGGAGACTAAAACCTGAAGAACGGTTGCAGGATTTGGGTTTGGCTAGTCTAGAGAAAAGAAAGACGAGGGATGACATGATAGCAGTATTCCAGTATTTAAGGGGCTGCCACAAAGAAGAGATGGTCAATTTATTTTCTAAAGCACCAGAAGGCAAGAAACAATGGATGGAAACTAATCTAGGAGAGAACCAACCTAGAACTAAGGAGAAACTTCTTAACAGAGAGAAGAATTAACCAGTGGAATGGTTAATCACTGAAGTTTTTAGGGATTAGACAGTTACTTGTTTGAAATGGTATAGGGTCTCCTGCTTGAACAGGGGATTGGACTAGAAGACCACTAAGGTACCTTCCAGCTGTATTCTGAATTGAAGATTGAATAAAAAGATGGATTGTGCAACCTGGTTCTTGGATGAGAAGGTCTTGAACCTGAAACCAGGAGACGGTAAGCCTGAGGCGTGGAGAAGTTTGCCATCTGCCAGATTCCTTTTAGGAGGAATTGAAGAATTAGAGGGAATAGGCCAGTGGGAGGCACCAGCAGATGATTGCCGTTCTCTGCTATCAGCCATGACAACAAGGGAAGAGTGGTTGGCAGTAGGAGGGGAATGGGCTGCTGGGGCTGAGTTCTGTTGCCTGCCTGATGTTTCCCCAATAAAGCAGAAAAGTATTGGAAGGTATGATGTCTCTTTTCTGTTATGCATCTGTGATTCTGTCTCTGAGGTTGATGATCACATGCAAGGCTGATTTCTGGAGTTCTTGTGAAGAGAACTGCTTAGAGCAGGATATTGGGTTCCTCCATTTAGCAATAGCAATAGCAGTTAGACTTATATACCGCTTCATAGGGCTTTC